GTTGCTTACAGGAAATCAGCAATGCACTCGAGACAGCACAATGCTGCTCTTCATCAGACAGTACAATGCAGCATCAGTTAGCTACGCCTCCTGCTCGCTGCATCTGCTGCTCACAGAGGAGATTCAGACAGCAGCCGAGACAGATGACTCACTAAAAAGTTATAGTGTTTATGTTTATATTTCTTCCAGAGCCTGAAAGCATGTCGCTTGGTGAAACGCTCAATTGTTCAAAAAAAAAAAAAAATGTTACTATGGATACCAAATACAGTCACTGTCCACTTTATTAGGTATGCTTATTAGGAACAAAAAGTCTACTTGTATGTAGCCTATAATGTTCGGTCTGTGTTGACACTATGTTGATTAAATTATAGGTTTTAACACTGAAGTCATAATTAGTGGTCTCGCAATAAACATCTATTGGTATAATGTAGTCCAATACCACATCACCTTTAACTATAACCTCAGTAATAACATTACTGACAATGCCACCAAAAACTGAGCTCTGTAAAGATACATGTTATGGCAGAGCAGCTGTATTGAACGCCATTCGATTGCACAGTTGTGTTAGGTTGATCGAGCAGTGAAGACTGTTCAACAGTGTTTGCTTGTTTGTTTTCTTCAGCAGTGGAGATCTATAGTGCAAATCAGCTTGGCCAAAACTGAAGAAAAACCTTTCAAAAAGGAAGGCACCACGCATTTTTACATTAGGGCCCTTGGCAGCGACAGTGGCTTGCTAATGCCAGCATGGCCTGAACTCCTGGGAGAAGCTCCAGCCCCCATTTTAAGAGACAGTATCTCCTCCTGCTGCAGGAAATGTTACACTAGGGCTTCACAATTAATTGAAATATTATCGAAATCGCAGTATGGCCGAGTGCAATATCCAAAACGCAGGAGCCGCAAAAAATCACAGGAGCTGCAATTCTTTTGATAAAGATAAAATTTGTCACATTGTTGTCAGCATCTTAGGCATAGTGATGCTGCGGAGACGCCCTGGCATACAAATTATATTCTCTATTCGTAAAGGAACATGTTTGTTTGGTACAAGATCTAACAAAAATCACATCACCTTTTTTATATTTTTTTCTGTGAAATGAAATGAAATGCAAAACGACCATTCCAACTGAAATCGCAATCTCACATTGCAATATCTGCCAAAATAATCGCAATGTGATTGTTTTTGCATATCATGCAATCCTTTGTTCTACAATAGATAAATATTATAAGTCAACAGTAAAATAACCTCCTAAACACAAAAAAAGAGTAAAATTGCAAACGGCCTAAAATCAACATTTTGTTCTGGACGCAACCCCCTTGATCTATACTACACTTTCCCCCAGGAACCTGATCATAAAAGGGAAGGGGACTGGGTCGACAGTTCCTGGGCCCAAACCAGGAGATCACCAAGCTCAGTTTACCTTAAAGGTTATGGTGCATCCTCCTGACAAGGTGTAGCCTATAAAGTAACAAACAAACAAACAAACAAACAAACAAACAAACAAACAAACAAACAAACAAACAAACAAACAAAATAACAGAAGAGTAACAATAACAGAGTTTATTTTTTCTTTCCCATCTATCTGCAACCCTTCAAATTTTTTGTGACCTCTTGGAGGGATCTGGACCCCTTTATGAAACATTTAATGGAAACTGCAGACAAAAAAAATAACTTGAACATGAGCAGTTTCCTGATCTCACACTACAGCGCTATCACAATGGTGAGTCGGACATCTTTGGATCACATCTGAACAAGTCTTTCCTTTGTTTGAAGGGAACAGAGGCGAGATTGTAGCAGCATTTTGGGACAAATCCTGCAGCTTCTCCATGGAGAGTTAATATCAGAGCAACTCCTAATTTATGGCAGCAGATCTTACAGGAGGAGGTTCCATTTTTTATTTAGTTCTAAAAACAAAATTTGTTAGTCACTAATTCCCTGTCAGTAGAGAAACAGAGGATCTCCTAACGATTATCACTGATTTCTTTTTAAGCATAAGAGATACTGTATTAGATATTGTTTTTTATATGTTTCTTTATGAACGCTGACATTTGATAGAAGGTGACTGATTCATAAACACACTGCAGACATGAGTTTCATTTAATGATTTATTGACATTTACTTTTTTCCACCATGGTTTCTCTTGATACCAATAGTATTTACCATAAAGTTTCTTTTTCATTTAAATTACATTTATAATGTTTTACTCACATACACATTTATTGTTTAATTTTCTTATTGCAATAAACAAGAGTAGCCAGAATGAGTCAGGTATTGCTACAATTCGCCATACAAACTCTGTGTCCCCTCTGACAATGAAATTCAAAAATAACTTTATTGGCAAGACAAAATTACACCATAGCCTCTCCATCTCTCTCTCTCTGCTCTGGGAGAGACTGAGGGCAGAATAAGGCTAAGGCTAGTAGCCTAAACACAGCTAACATGAAATACCTGCCCAGAAAATAGGAATCTAACATTTATTTCCCATATGTGAATAATGAGGATGGGTCAATGGGAATACCACAGAAAGAACATATCACGGACAATATGAACATATCTGTGGTGCTGCTACTTGACTGAACTAACAGGGACATGGTTGTAGTACTTGGATTAGGTTGGGTTGTTGATCAAGTTTGATAGAATCCAGGATGATTGATCAATCTTCCTAAACCAAACATGTGCAGGTTTTTATCTCCATCACTGTATTAGGCCACTTTATAACTCCAGGATGCTTCTGTATCTGATTGGTGGGAAGTGGGGAGAGAGCCGGTCCCAACACACACTAGAATACAAATGGTACACACACCAACAGGAAAGAGAGCACAGATCCTGGAATAGTATCTTACTCACAAAATGAACTCTTCAAAGGAGGTTTCGTTCAGCAACAAAAAGAGCACAACGGTGGAAGCTGACACCAAGCCAGCTTCTTCTTTAAGTAATGGCATTGATAATGTTCCTCAGGATTTTCACTTAAGCACATTTCGCACACACAGAGAAAAATAATAATAATGCAATTCAGTAAGTCCAACTAAAAAAACCAAAAAAAAAAAAAAAAAAAAAAAAAAAAAAAAAGCCTGTTGAACACATCTATCTTTAATCCCTTGATACCTGGCGTTGTACCCTGTTCCCCAAGCAGAGATTACCATAGTAAAAAGGCCCTTTAATATGAAGGGTCGGTACCTAAGCCCAGCTACACCTCTGTCTCTCTCTGCCCCTCTCCAAATCCCTTCGAGGGCTTGAACTCCTCCCGGAAGAACAGAAAAAAGTCTGTCAGCTGGCGCGCTCCTAGTTTTACACACACAACTCCGGACAACATGTCACAACATGTCACAATGATAACAAGTCACTCTGATAAAAATTGCTCATTGCATTGCAATATTCAGACAAAGGTAAGACATTAGAGCTCATTGCTTCTCAATGAAAGGGCACAGTGTACATCTTGTTCAGAAAAGGGTGATAGCTTCAAGCTGTCGAGCAAGATAGGTCTGCTGCTGCTTTGCTAGTTTTTCTGGCTCCCTGCTGAGTCACTTGTTCTGTCTGTCTGAGTCGACACTTATATAATCCACTATACAATAATTCCATCCCTTTCTTCTTTTCTCTTCATGGATGCAGTCATTAACATTTCCCACCTACAAAAATATTTTTTACTGTGTTTTCTATTTTGCTCTTATTGATGTGTGATATAAACACAAACAGTCCGAACCAAACAAAAGAAAGTGCTCACCAGTCTTTGTAAAAAGAAAACAAATCATGGTGCATTTCATGGCTTTCAGTTGTAAGACAGGAAGTATTGATAGATGCCTTGGGCTGGACGTCTCGGCTCCCACTCCCGGCGGCCTCGCTGGGCTTCTGGCTCGGTTGTCACGCCGACTCAAGATCATTTCTCCGAGAATGTATTTGACTTTCATCTTCCTCTCTTTAATTTGTTCCCTTTCAGCGTTATGGTTGCCAGTGTTATGATGTGCCCTCTACAATAGACTCATATGAACCTTTGGATATGGGGGAGGTGAGGAGGATAGGGCAGGTCAGAGGAGGGGGGACCCAATGATGCAGAAGCCTGAGCCTGCAGGTCCTTATTGCAAGGCTGCATGCAGAAACAACATAAACACATCAGTGCACAGGGTCGCACCTAAGTCATACCTTCCCACCTACACAGTGAGTCAAAGACGAGGGTGATGTTGAGGATGTCAATTCAATTCTTTTTGATGGCTTGATGTCAACAGAAGTCACAGCAAATACATATGAACTATGCTCTTTGCAGTATAGTATTTCTCATTACTGTAAGTAAAATCACAGAATCTTGCCATCAAACGCATTACAGCAGTACAGTATGTACCAATGTGTGACTTCTGCTGTCCTCTCTCCCCTTTGGTGAGGCTCCTCTCTGACTAATACGAAGGTTGGCAGATGTGCCCTGTAGCGATTTTTGTTGGTACAGTCTATTTTAAAACACAAATGCATTCGGGCCTGCGTGTGTCTGCATGCTGCCTGGGGTCAACCCATCCACTGACCCGTGCCAGCCCTCCTCTCACCTCGCCCTCTCAGGAAATGACAGGGGAGCGCAATCCCCCACAGTCACTTCTCTGCTCTCTTGACCCCCCCCCCCACCTCCCCTCCCCCCAACCATCAGACATGTTCAGAAGCGGCTACCACCTGCCTGTCAGCCGAAGTCATGTTGTATCTAGTGAGGACCTAGTGTCAGAAACTGAAGAGTTGCTGGCCTCCGGCGCAGAAGGGGACATGTACAGTACCGTGGAGGCCGCCGCAGCTACATGTGACGCATACCGCAAAGACTGATGGAAGCAGCTACCCTACTGACATAACATTATTGTCTTGGTTTTTGAGGTGCATAGGATGAGAAGAACACGTTGAGCCGTGACGACAGAGGAAAACCAACCTGGCCCAGAATAATTATGTAACACTACATGTGGTTTAATGTTTCTAGTGACGTCTGCATGTGTTTCTTCTGTAGCTATCGAGGCGGCCATGACAGGGCCACAGCGCAAGGGAGAGGGACCAGGGGAGGTGAGAGATGTACAAGGGAGTTCAATGCATAATGAATATCTCTCCTCTGCTCATTCCATCTGCGTATCACTCAGGAGTCTTTGAAATGGAGGGAGAGTTTCAGGTAAAGGGAAGAAAGAGAGACATAAACTTCTACTCCTCTCCGCTGCTCCTTTCCCCTTGCTTTTCTCTCAGTTCAATATTTAAATGATTGGATTTTTTTCCCCTTATCGATTGCTGTTTGTTGATCATGTTTATATCTTCACAGTGTGCTTTTGGAGTGGCTGTTCCTGACTGGCCGAAGTCAGAGGGTGATGTGTCAGTAAGGGGAGAAGAGGATTGGCCCGTGGGTGGTGCGGATGGGCCCCGGGGCCGGTCTTAGGATGGCGTGGCTGAGAGGCGGGCCTTGCAGTAGGTGATGGTGTGGGTGATGCCCAGGAGCTGCTGCACGGAGGGCCAACGGGTTCGAGGAAGCTGCAGCGGCCATTGCTGCGGCAACAGCCAAGGGGCTGGGCAAGAGCCCCGCACCCAAAGCTTTGGTGAGATCCTTGGAGAAAGTCAAAGAAGACTAAAAACAGAAGAGGGTGAAGAAAGAGACACAAGACAAGAGAGAGGGAGGAAGGGAGGGAGAGAGGGAGAGGGATAAAATGATTAGTTCCAGAAGGTCAACATATGTAGGGAAATCAGATATAAACCTTCCTTTTCAGACTCTTTTGATCGTCATAATGCAGAGAATTTCAGTTCAGCTGAGTTAGTATTTTCAGGAGGACACAACCCAAAATAGAACACCCGGCAGGCTTTTGAAGGTATCAGATCAACTCGCTCTAAATGTGCCTGTCAGACTTTATGTTCTTGGTTATCATTGTCTATTTGCTCTGTGAATCGCAGGTTTGCTGACTATGTCACAGGAGGAGTCAGACTTAAACAGTCAGAAACTTGAAAGGTTACCGTCAGATCAGCCCCCCTGTGCTTCTTGTGTCGGCTGAGGAGGGGGTTAGGCTTGCCCGCCATGCCGTCCCGGTGCCTTCGACTTGATATGTGCTGAAAGGAGAGAACACAGGAACATAAGTTAGTCCCGCTTTCCCTGAGTGAAAATATTTCCCATATTAGACCATTAAAATGGATGAATTATGGAATGGAAAATGGAAATCTTCTTCCTCCTACCTGTTTGAGTTGCAGTTCAGAGTTGACCCGCACATTGCAGATCTCACAGTGGAAGGTTCGTTCCTGAGTGTTGGGGTCCACCGGCCCCCCTCCCTGCTCTCCACTGGGTTTGGGGCCCAAGCGAGGATACGCCTTGATGGGGCCCAGCCCGCTCCGTGCCTCCAGGATAGTTTTGTGTTTGGTACCTGCAGGTAGAAACACACACACAAGCAAAAACACAGCAATGTCATTAACCAATATGAAATGACATATTTAGAAGCTAATAGAATAAAATGAAGCCATACAGTGGAGATGTATCACTATTTATAACATATGAGTCATGCCGCTTCCACCTGTCTGAAGTAAAATAAGACTGGACAGCGTTTCTCTGTAGCTCAGAGCACTGATGGAGAAACACTGACAGTGACAAATATCTGAACACACTGGACATATGTCTTTATTTTCCCCTAAGTGACCACATACGCACGACATGACATACAGAATATGTTGCAATACAAAGTTGTAGTGCTGCGTTTTTACCACTGGAGGGCTGCAGTCAGACAGCTGTGCGGCTGGTGATCTGGAGGATGAACTTGGAGCCCTCTCTCATGTTAATATTGCAATAACTGCCTATGTTTGATTCAGTGGAGAGGCTGACATAAGGTCATTCAGTATGCACAGCAGTAAATTATATCCACCACATGTGCCAATATCAATGACAGTGCTGCACCACTGAACCTTCACTTTGAAATCAATAATTTTGACTGTACATGTCAAAAGTTGGAAGTTTAAGGGTAGGTTATTATGTGAAGCAGGTTTTTCTGGCCTTGGGATGGATTTTGCAGTACAAGTATTTGCTGTGCTATAAGATCATTACACCTGTGCTTTACACTGTTTCACTACATATTGATGTGATGAAATCACACCGTCTTAACAAACTATCAAGACCTGTAGCTCAGTGGGAACACATAAAGACACTAAAATCTAACTAAGTCCATATGTGATATGGTCATGTTTCTGATTGAACAGCCATTGTTTCTGTCAATGATTAAACGGCTGAGCGATTGAAATACTGACCTGCATCATTATAGATGAGGGTGTAACACTAGACACAACACACTTAAATAAAAATGTACCAGATGTGTTTCTTGGACACAAAACAATAACAAGAAGAACTCCCCATAGTCTCCCCACACCCTGCTTTTAACCCAATCATGATTCCAGCAGGAATGATAGAATTCGAAATATTGAGCAATTCAGAAAATGATATTCTGTCAAATGTTTTACGGGAAATTCTGCATGTTTCATACTTTTTCTAAGTACAGTATTTTCTAAATATTCTTAATTTGAAGAAATCGCACAGGCTGAATTCACAAAAGATATCGCATTGAGAGAAGTGCTATTGCATATTAGTTCCCCTTTCAAGTGGTCTGCAAAGCAGCACACTAGAGAGTGTGCAAGAGTAGTTTCTCATTAAATAATTATGTTTTGTTCTTCACTGAAAAATTAAAGTCACACCCTCCACCGCCCACATTCAACCCACCCCAGACTTGACCTTGTGGCTTCCAATCTTCCCCTCACTGCTATGCCTCTTTACTCTCAGAGTAAATCATCCCACTATCACTGACTCTGACTTTGAATTTGAGTCACTCTCCCTTTGAACAGTTAAGTTACAGTGGAGAGCAGGGTTGTGTGACTGGTGGGGAACACGGAGGCTGTGGGCTCCACTGGAGGGGAAGGGGCTGGACTGACGGATTTCACTCGTGGCCAGGAATGTGCTCTTGGGATGTCTGTTTTTGCCTTTGTTCTATTTTGGTCTGACAATGGACAGCTCAGTGGATTTTTTTGTCTTTGTAAGGTTGACTCACTGCGTAAGCCAACACACAAGGAGAGCAGGCACGATCAAAAACACAAAAACAGGCGAAGGGTTGGCAGGAAACTGTTGTGTAATTGTTAAAATAACATTACATACATCGCTCTTTCTCTTTTCTTTTCTTTTTGCCCTTTCTGCTATTAAGTCTGTGCCACGCACGCTGCTCATGTCTTGGTGTCTGCACGACATATGCTTTTGTTTTCGAACCCCGCTAACATGCACTGTTTTGATTTTGAGAATTCGTAAGGGTGATTGCTTCCAGATCATTTCCCTCATAGAGTTTCAACAGTTTCAACTCTTGCCCATTCAGGGGTTGAACTTTGGAGCCAATTAGCTGACAGCAGGCTGAAACCCGGGATCATGCTTAGAAGCTGATGGCTTGTTTTACTTCCATGTGCATTTGCATCGTAAATGTGCTTGTGGGCAGATGTAATGCAAATTTATCGCTGTGTAGTTGTTAAAATGATAAAGAATTAATTAGAGCATGATAAAACATGAATTCCAAAAGACTTCCACGGGTTAATCTGACCATAATGGCGGCGGTGATGGCACATTTATTGATTAATACTTTATACAACTTTAAGAGGTATTTGTTGGCTGCTCTCATGTCTGGCTGAGCTGGCTGGGTCCAACATTACTCAAGGCAAGTGGGATAGAGTTACACTGATGTGGAGTCAGTTGTGTCTCTACAGTTTTTCTTCATGTACAGAAGATGTATTTGTAGGAGAGTACACCTCCCCAAAGAAAGACTGGAGATCAATCAGATAGAAACTGTCCTCAGAGGGAAACAAGGTCACAGGCAGCACTAAGTTGGAAAGGAGGCATAAAGGATTAAAGCAGGCAGCGGGCACCTCAGGGGTATTTGGAGCCCTGAGAAAGTGTCGTCATGTGTGAAAGCTGTCTGACTGAATGTCGAAGCTGGTATTGTAGTGAGCTCACCCACATAACAGCTTATTTTTCTTTTATTTTCCCACTAAATCCCCCAATGCAGTGGTTACCCCGCCATAGCCATCCTCCTCTGCTACTTTTATAAGAGAAATCCTTCAGGCTAAGTGGAACACGTTTTATGTTGCGTGCTGCAAATGACAAGATAAATCGTGAATTCCTTGAGTGGGGGTGGGGGGTGGGGGTGGTTTCTTTTAAATAATTATATCTTGTGTGAGTCAAGGAACTGTGGCGGCGCGTGGGTGTGTTAGCAGAGGGAGAGGCACCTTGACAGAGCTCCTGAAACCAGGAGAGCGGGGCTTGGTTACAGAGGTCGTGCCTGTCAGTGTCAAACGGATCAGTTATCTGCTGATCAGTGTTCTTCTCAGTGCTGGGTCGCACTCAACCTGAAACACTTACTAAGGGTATTTTTCCAATCAGATTCATGAACCCAGACAGGGTACACTTACAGTGGATGCAGTCAGGTTCTTGTGATACATTTTGTTTCCAGCAACAACAACAGTGTGGTTTGAGCAAGCAGAGAAACAGAATCCAAGCATAGCTGAAGAAATGAAACTGAAGCAAAAGATCCAAGGAGAAAGACATCACAGTTAATCCCACGTGGTTTGATAGCCAGCTAATATCTGGAAAGTGCACAAGTACCACAGCGATTTTAGTGTATCAGAGCTCACAGATCAACCCACCTTTGTTGTGGGCCTCCAGCTGTGACAAGGAATTGACCGCCACCTTGCACAGTGAGCAGTACAGCAGCTTCTTGGCCTTATCCTCCTCTGTCTCTGGGTTGGACGGGCTGCTGGAGGCGGAGGTGCCGGCGGCTCCTGTACCCGGGGGTCCAGATCCGGGCTGCTCTGAGTTGGTGCTGCCACTGCCACAGCCTGGGGAGGATGAGGAAGGGGGGATCAAGGGAGGAGTTGGGGTGGGTAGGAGAGGGCACACTGAGGGCACGGGGGAGTCCATGGGCGGGGTAGGTGGGGTGGTAAGAGTGGGAAGGGGCCCCGGGGCCAGCAGGGGCCCATTTAACTGTGAAAGAGGCCGTGTTTCACCTACAAAAATGAAGAGAGAAACAAAGAAAGAGACAAAATAAAAGTCAAAAGCAGTGTGGAGAAAAATCAAAGCACTGATTTTATAGTCCAAAAAGTTCATAACTTAAACAATAAAGTGTTTTACTATTGACTTCATGGTCTTTAAACTCTGTGGTGAAGCAAAGTCCGCCTGAAAAAAAAAACTGCTATGTCAAACCACATCACATACCACTCCCAATTGAATGTGGAATGCACGGTCTGCTTCATGGATCAGACAAACCAACATGCAGGCGGAAGTGCTTTTTATTTCCTACTGTATAGGTTGTAACTGGTCAAAAAGAGGTCCTTTTAATTAAAGTTACACATAGAGTGGATCAGAGGAGGAAAACGTATGTCCCATGTGTGTAAAGAGATGGGCACGTGTTTGAAGTTTTCAAGCCAATCTTTGACTGAAGTGCTCTCATTTTATTGAAAATCTTCCAACGAGAGAAACAGGAAACACACACTTCAGCCTGTGCTCTTTCCACTCTTTCCCACACACCTGTTGTTTTTTTGGCTGAGGATGAAGCATAATGGCACTTGCTTTGTCACAGGGCAACACACGAAGTCCAAAGAAAATATCATTAGGTGAGCTTTCCTCTCATTCTCTGCTCACTTTTCCCTCTGCCTTCTCTCTCTCTCTTTCTCTCTCTCTCTCTCTCTCTCTCTCTCTCTCTCTCTCTCTCTCTCTCTCTCTCTCTCTGTAGTTTTAATCTCAACGTATGTTGGGTACTTTTTCTCTTTTCATCACAGAGCATGTTTATGCATACATTTCCAAACACATGTTTCTGGTCAGCCACTCCCATACGCAATGCCTTCGGTATTCACGAAGCAGTGGGTGTTGGCTGAAAAAAGACCCCCTAAATTTGGGTGGGGTATTCAGAACTCCCCCCCATCAGCAGGGACCAGCAGGCCCCGTTTCTTAAAACTCCACAGGATGTAGCGCCAAAGCCAGGCAATGGAAAAGCCCCACTGGATTATGGTATTAAAGGGATAACAGAGTATTTCTGGGAAGAAAACAAATATTGACTTTAACTGCCCAATTTCCTTTTTAAGGATCTCCACATGTTGTCACATGACAGAGCCCATGGGGGCCATGATATTTTTATGTTTTTGCTTCACTCTGAGATTCTTATGTGACTCTGATAATTCGTGTATTGTATAACTACAGTCACTCTGACTATTCTATTGCATCATCTCAGATGAAGATGCCATTCTGAGTGCTTTCCATTCCATTGCTTTCCAAGATCGAAATTCTCTCTCTTTCCATTTTGGAAGTTTCCAGCTGCAGAGCTGCTGGCTGCACTGAGCGTTTGTCAAACAGATGTTTAGTTAAAAAAAGAAAAAAAAAGGAATATTTCTTACTCTGACTCTCTATGGCATTGAGGAGTCCATAAACCAGGCCTGGATCAAAGTGCTGAGTGAGGGCAAGTGCTGTTTGAAGAGCTTTGTGATCATAATGTGTCTACTTTACCACAGTGCAGCTAGTTAATGGGTTGTACCTGCAAGTGCAGGAGGACAGAATGATAGAGAAGCCAAGGTAGTTGTTGGCGTTTGCCCACACACAGCACATACACATGCACATGACTTCATCACAATGCTGAGAAACAAACCCAGAATCCACAGCGTCCTTAACATGTGGTTTGAGTTAAAGTCAAGTGGAGGGGAGAGGTGGATGGCCCAATAGTAGAGAGGGATTTCATGATCCATGATAGCCTGGAGGTGTGCCATACTCAACCGTCACATCCAGTCACTGTTTCACCTCATACCACAGTGAACGTCTCCTACATTCATCCACCTTAGAACAAGTTCAGTTGGAGGCTAACCCCTTGAGGTCACGTAGCCACAGTCATGCACTGTCTGTCTCAGCAACCCAAAATCACTAATGTCACTGAGCAGCAAAAAACTCCTTCTTTTTCTCATATTTTCTGACTAAAATGAAAAGCACAGAGTAGACAAATTGCTACATTTTTCTTGCCCTCAGAATCCCACTTGCAGAGTTATTTTCTTCAGAAAGTATAGGGATATTTAAGTCTAATTAAACATTGATAAGGCAGTTAACTGCCCTTCGTCCCTGCTGGCCTCAGAGCCAAACAGAAGAAGGCATTATTCACTGGGAGAGGTCAGCAGAGGGAGATAACTCAATCCAGATGCTTTACAATACAGCCTGGTGTGTCTGCGTTGCCTTAATCCACTTCAGGAAATTAAAACGATGTATATAGTATGCAGTCCATGGGGAGAGGGAGAGGTTTTGTTGATAAAGCCATGGGATTTAATACGGACCAATTCAAAGTCAGACCAAAGGAACTTCCATTGTTGGCTAAGAGTCAATGTTCATCCTGATTCCTTAAGTGTGAAATTTTCTCTAGTCTGCAATAGCTTCTTGGAAATATAAAACATATCTGATTGTGGAATCGATGTAGGAGGCAGTATATTAATGAGTGCCTGCCTAAGCAAATCCTCCCTATTCTACACAGAGTGTAAGTGATCCCACAGGGTTAGAAACCAAACAACGAGTAAGCTTTTTGTTGTTGTATAAAATGTTATTGCAATAATCAATCCGCGTGTAGGTGGAACATTATGTGGTGATGCGTATGCTTTGTTTATTTTAAATGTCAAATGAAAGCAGTGCAATTAAAACCAAGGTAAACAGATTACGGAGGCCTCCATTAGTTTGAGTTTCAAGTCAGATACCAGGAGGTTTACCACAAGACTGAGATATTGACTCCACAGTGTGTGTGTGTGTGTGTGTGTGTGTGTGTGTGTGTGTGTGTGTGTGTGTGTGTGTGTGATCAGGGGTTAGGGTTACTTGGGCAGGATGACTCCGTCTGCCACTGGTGCCGCCCCCGATGCCCATTCTTAATGATTAACGAGCTACGAAACATAACGCTGGCCCTACAAGACCCGTGCCTCATTCATAATGCAGTTGGGTGCCTTTTTCCCAGTCTGGCCTACATCTGAACTCTGAGTCACACACACACACACGCGCAAACAAGCAAATTATTATCAGTTAGTCATGTTATTGCAGGTATATTTCACCACAGAGGAAGTCCCTGAAAAAATTCCCTGAAAAACTCACTTCCCAGGACCAACAGCCAATATAGACAGAGCATGAAAAGCATATCAGCTCTGTGTAACTCAATAGCGTAGTCACGTCACAGCCATGCAACCCTAGCCCTCACATGAAAGTCATCTGTTTAATTGACCTTGGGGGCGTGTTCGCCTGCGAGTGTTTGTGTGGACTCAAGAGTGCTATAATATCAGGTGGTTTTAACAGGGCCCTTCATTAGAGTGGGAGTGTCAGACAGCAGAGGGATAGAGAGGAGGGGAAGGAGGGAGGGAAGAGCAGAGTTTCTCTCCGAGTAAACAGCTGCCTCGCCATCGCCCGCAGGCGCAGCCAAACCCTCAGTTCTCTAGGCCAAATCCCCCAAAGCCAAGAGCCTCCTCTTTGGGGGTAACACTGACCACTAAATTTTCAAGGGCTGCGAATCTCATGACCTGTTCTGGTAGCCATAAGGCTGAAGAAGAAACAGCATTCAAACCATAACTGACCTTTCACAGTTTTAGCCTTCGGCAAGGTCTTAATGTGTCCTGTTTATGGCCGTCACTGACACTGCTTCATGTTTAATATGTGCGTGAGGAAATGATGCAGCGTAAAAGAGAAGGTCATCATGGCAGTATTATAGCCGACTGTTTCAGAATACTGTGATATTGCGTAAAATCCCTTATCAACAAACCATTCACAGGAAAAAACACTCAACATCAACAACAGAGGCTGCGCTGGGTTGTAAGGGATTTGCACTGTGGGAAATCTCCTCCTCGTCCTTCCGAATGCGTGCTTGCACAGGCCTAACCACATTGTTTGTGTATATATGTGTGTGCATACATTATGTGTATAGCCCAGAGCATCTCTCAGTTTCAGAGTAGCCAGTGAGTGACCTGCGTTTGACTCCACGGCCCAAACTGCAGTGTCCGCTCTCCAGATGCTGCATTCCAAGTTAAGGTCATGCACAGCAGCCTGCTCCCAGAGGTCTGTTCCCCTACCATGGAGCAGTGGGACAGGATGACACTGAGGACACACACACACACACACACAAGCGCACATACTCACACACACACACACACACACGTTATCATAGGTCACTTTTGGGGACATAACATAGCCTTGCATTAATTTCCTGAAGACTTACACTAACCCTAACCTGACCCAAAAATGATCTTTTTCCAAATTGAGGACATGGCTTTTGTCCCCAGTTGCACAAGCTGTCCCCAATTAAATGGTCTTTAGTGTGAAATTTGTCCCCCAAAGATAGCCTATGACAGAAACACATGCACACATACACACATGAATTCACAAGTAAGCAAGCAGGCAGGCAGAGCAGGCAGAGACAGGGTTCCAGGGTCACGAGAAAGAGGCTTGGATGGAAAAAGGCATTCTTTCACATGTTGCTACTTTCAGATCTCAATCATGGCAGGCTTGTTTTGGCTCCCCATGTTGTTGGAGTTCGCCCCGGGAAGTCTCACTAATGGCGATTGGCCTGGAGCTGATCTCAGATCCCCTGTGAGGGAGGGTGAGTGAAAAAAGACTTGCTTCTTACTACTCTGGGATCAGCTACAATGAATTAGTGTTATTTTTATGGAGAGTAAAAGAGTCAAAGATGGTGAAATGCTAAGGCCTTTGCTCTGGCATGTTGCAGCATATTGGCCTTTATTGGATCTGAGTTTCATCTTTTCATTCACCGTGTTTGCTCTGTGGCCTCCCGTCAATAAGGTGGAAATGTCTGGTAAAGAATCAGCTACAGAAACCTTTGTAAATGTCACCAAAACATGACCGGTCTATTCATTGCCTGGTGTTTGATCCGAGGACAGAGTGGTGACACTGAGGGAATGGAAAACTCTGGGTGGAGAATGGAGAAGGGCATAGGCACACAGCACCCAGTCTCTGAATTAGAGCTTTAAATAGGAAGATGAGCAAGACAGGGAGAGGTTAAGTAATACGGAGACAACAGGGTCAGAGCTTAAGACATACTGCTAAAGAAAGAGCTTGCAATGCCTTGATGATGCCCTGTATCCTTACCAACTAATAAATGAATCTGCCAACAGTGAATTAGTTTTCATTAAAGTCGTATCAGCTGCCATCTTTGTCCTTTCTGTGGCTCTCCCACAGTGGTGTCATCTTTATTTTTCTCAATCAGTCTTAACACACATTACCACCACCCTGGACTCAGGCAACATAGTCTATTTTGATTCTGTGGTGTTGCACTTCTCAATAACTCACTCAGGACTGTGCAAACACACACACGCACAAACTTACGCACACCACAGTGGGGTTCCTTGAAAACACGCCAAGAATCTGCCATGTTGCCGTGTTCTATGCCAACTCGCCTACACACAGTCTAAATGGATAGATACTCTTGCGTTGCCGAGCTGAACAAAACAATGCTGTGGTTAGACTGGACTAATACGGAGGATTGTCTGGGGTACAGTGATGATGCTTCTACTTTGATCAACCTATCACTCAGAGAGCAAGACACCTGACGTCTGGCTTTCATGTTGGTCCGTGTGCTCCTCTCTGAGCTACTCAGCTGTTGGCCAGACAAGATCAATATAAGATGATCCCCTGGCATCAGTATATTGTTCTAGATTAAGATGAAAAAGGCTCGTGATGTAAACTGATGGAGTATGTCCCGTGACAGCAAACATTTATCTGTTTGTTTGAGCTACATACACTGTCTTCATAATCTGTTGTAAAGAACTGAATCAATCTTTACTATGTGCAATACATATTAAATATTCAGTCAAGGGCTCCGACTTCTTAACCCTTGGAGTATTGGGTCAGATTCCCTCTGTTTTTAGTTTAACTTTCCTATCGACCTGATTTATGTTTTCATCAAGCGTTTGCCAGTGCTTATATAACTGTAGCTGCATTCAGACTAACTTGGACACACTCCTTTGAAGTTAAAGCTCAATTTAGTTTCTTAATGAAATTTAATGTGTCCAGAGTCACAGAAAGGAACTCGTTGCTTCAACTGTGTCCCACTTTTAAACTAACTTCCTCAGGACTCTAGTTTATTTTTAACTATCATTGAAAATAGTTTTTGTCACTTCAGAATGAAGTCTTGGCATCTAAAAGTTTCGTTCAGCTACCCAATCTTCCATGAAACAAACATTTCTAAATTAAATTTTTATTTTCCCCATAAACACTACTGTTAGTGCAAACTCTTTCTGAGGTTTGTGGGGCTGTGTTGTTGGCCATAAGATATGCTGCAGCCAAATCAGACCACACACAGAGCCGAGATGCTCACAAGAAGAACAATACACAGCAAAGCCGCTGTGATTAGATGCCTTTGTTATTCTTGCATATTTTCCATTTCATTTTCCAGCAAAACGATAAGCCTCTGAACATCCTGCACGGATTGAAATGATTATTTCTACAACAAAACTCACACAAGCACTTTTTTCGGTTCCTTTTTTTTTTTTTCTGTTCTCTCACCCGCTTTGCTGGGCTCGCTGTCTGAGACAGTGCCTGGTGCTCCGGGCGGAGACGGGGAGGAGGTGGGGGGCACAGTATGAGGCTTGTCCCCCTCCTGAGGACGACTCTTAGAGGTTTCGATGCCTTTGACTCTCCTGGCATGGCGGTTTCCTTTGTAATGTGCTTCTGCCTGGCTCTATGGGAAAGAAAAAATACATGTCTGTTGTAACACTGATGCCAACAGGTGAATAAAACATTGCAAGTTGAATTAGACACTTGTGCACACATGCATGCTATTATGATAGCATGATATTTAATATACTCTGGGGACTTGAGCCACAGACAGCAGGCAGGTTTACGGTGGATAAATAGATGGATTACAAGCAAGGAGAACAAAGACAAGCAAGAAGGAGACATCTGAGACCTTTACCTTTCTGCCCTCCTTGTGCCTTATGTCACCTTATAGTCAGGTTTTCGAATTAGCAATAAATTATCATGCAGCATATTCAGACTACCAGTACATCTATTTCGGGTAATCTGTTTGTCTACATTGGACATAACTGCTCAGCTCAAAGTGACATACGTCCTCTGTAGTCTAAACCTCTGCATTCACCCTGACAGTACTTGGCTCCAGCTTTCATTACTACAGCCATGCTGACAGACATGCCGAGGGGAGTTGAGCTCGGGGTCAGTGGGATGCCGTGTTATCTGCCTGAAGGACCCATAAGCCCTGCACTGACACTACCCTCCCTCTTGCAACATACACACACACACACACACACACACACACACACACACACACGCACATTATAACGGTACATACTGCATTATCAGTGGACATATGTGGGTTCCTACAACATAAATACTGTGATCGCCTTCAGCTGCTGGTTGGACAGGGTCAAGCTCTAGCACAGTCCCGGACTTAACTGCTTGCCTAAATATACATGCTACCAGGCAGCAGAGACCCTGTCTGTAATATCTCATAGTAAAGATAAAGTGCGGATTCTGGAGTCTGGAGGTTTTCAAAGATTGACGATCATCCCGCATTCCAGCGAAGAAAAATAAATAAATAAATAGTGCAGAGATCTGTTACAGAGGCTACTGTGGCTAATCTCCTGCTAGCTAATGTGTTTTATTTGGAGGGTAAACAGCAGAGGTGAGTCATTTGTCAGGACATCGGGGGAGTCTGCCTCTACTGTGTGTATGTTTGTGTGTCTGCACAGAGGTATGTGAGTCGTGGACAACATGGCAGATGAGATGCTCGGTTGCTATACTGAGCTGTCGCCAGTGGTCTAGCTTCACAGTATGGTGGCTGTGAAACAAAAAAACACAGACAAATACACTGGCACACACACACACATACACACACACACACACACACACCTAGCTGGGCAGGGGGTGGTCATGTAACCCTATTTGCCATCTGCTCACCCATTCTTTATCTCCCCTCTATCAAGTGTGCCTCAATTAAAAACACTGACACCCTCCTTGAGTCAAATAGCTCCCTGCCATCGCCACAAATATACGGAGTGAGCATATGTACCACGCCATGTGCCGTGTCGGCCAAATAATTCTTGTATCTAGGGGCCAATGATGAAGATGATTATTAAATAGCTGGATTACAGTTAGGTGCCAGGGAGAGTGAGATTCAAGGTCTTGAAGAGCGGCTGACAGCTGCAATAGGTGCTGAAAGGCCTGGAGAATTTGCCTGACACTCAGGACATCACACTGACCGCATGCTCAGGAGTGGGAATAGACTGGCTTGGTGAAAGAGGCAGGGGAGTGATGAGTAATGTTTGTATGAGCCCAGTTGTGTATGTTTGCTTTATGTGAGTGCCTAATGGCATCCAGGATGTGATCTGGCACGGTAAACCAGGGGCATTGGCTGCAGTGCTTTAGAAGATCACATGTTTCTTGTAAATCATGATGACAAACTGGGCTGTAACTGTATCCTGTCAGAGGGGTCTTAAGGAGCTGCTCGAGCAAAGCCAGAAGATCAAGGTGGAGAGAGCTGTGGAGAGGGGGGAATGGGGTGGGTCGAGGGCGTTGCTGAAAGAGAAGTGATCTCTCAGATGAAGAAGGGAATGTGGGGAGATAGAAAGGTATATGGTGCTGCATGGCGAAGCAGCCACAGAGGCTTTCTTAACCTCTCCCACCAAGCCAAGGGGATCAACTGCCAAGCTGCTGAATGTCAGTGTGAGGTCCTGGATGGAGGGAAGGGAAAGAGGATGAAGGGAAGATGAAGGAGCGCTGGTTCATAGCCAGGGAACTACAAGACAAGGAAGGTGATATAAAGAGCTGGACTGAGAATGGGAATGATGTAAAAGAGACAAAAAAAATTTTCAGAGGGAGGAAAAGCTGCGCCGCATCTGCCTGTGTTTCATTATGCAGAGGCTTCAAACTGAACAAGTGCTTTCCAGCATGACTATCATTCTGAGGGAGAAAGCTGTGATGTTACAGCGTAGCCACAGCTGCATCTCCAGATGAGGCAGATGGAAGTTAAAGTGAGAGAAAACAACTGATAGACCGGGACAATAAACAGGCAGGACACAGACTGAGGGGGAGTGAAAATGGAGGGGGACGGCAGAGAAGGGAGAGAGGAACAGGAAGAAAATAAGGGATGCATATCAGCCAAGTCTTGCTGCAGCAGCTGTGACGTTGGTCAATGCAGCGCGACGGAGCCTGTGATGTCACTAATGCAGCACGCCACCAAGGTTATTCTGCATAAAACCACCGTTTAGCACCTCACACCACCATTTTATACACGCAGGGAACGAGCTGGGGCAAACCCCCCCCCACCCCACCCACCCACCCACCCCTAATTCTGCTGCCCTTCCTTATCAAAGTGTCCTCTCCCTGACTTTCCCAAGATGCACTGGGGCTGTCAGAACCAGACACTAATCCATGCCCTTGACAAATGCATCTTATAATAAGTAGTGGCAGGCAATTTTAGGCATTTCCACACAGTAAATAATGCAGCTCGAGAGAGGGAGGAAGATAGAAAGAGGGGGAGAAGGTTGCTGGGAGAGAGACAAGCAGAGAGGCACAGAAGAGAAAGATCAAACGGGATGAATGAACGATGGCAAAATGATGCGTGAAATGAAGGGCGGGAACAAAAAGGCAGAGCTGGATTCTTTGAAGACAAACGCATTGATTATGACATTACATGGTAAGCCCCTATTGCTGTATTTGACCTAAGCACCCCAATCAACTCACAGATGGCAGATAACGACAGAGAAATGTCAACATCAAGGCCAGAGCCCGAACTGGGAAAAAACGAGGCTGGGAATGCAGCACAGGATTATCCCGAAGTGTTACGTGCTTTAATATTTTCATCCTGACTTCACATTATGTAAAAGAGAACGGGTTGCAGGACACCACAAACTACACACGGCCTGCTGCAAGTTTGACATTGCTGACACAGTATATTGCAGTGTGCGCTTCTTCTTGAGCACACAGGCAGCGAAAGTGACGATGACATTCGAGAGGCAGTGTCGTCCTGAATATCGCAATCCTGAGGTTTTCACATGCATGTGGATTTGTGTTTGTGTGTTTGTGTGTGTGTGTGTGTGTGAGTGAGTGTTTCATCAGTCAGGAGCCAGAACACACAGGAAGCCACAGTTGCAGTGTGTGTCACCTAATTGTTACCTTTCCACCCTTGTACACATATGAACATAAAAAAAACATTAACTTCACTAGAGACACCAAATAACCTTATGTTTTTAAAATGTTTTTACCTGTTTATTAACTGCCTTTTATCTAAGCTCCTCTATTGCATCTGCACGACATGAGTCTTAGTCTCTTTATATTATTTTAATTATTATTTTGGAACAATTTTTTATTACTGGCCTGTTGGTCGGGTCTTGATGAAATTTTTACCTGGTTAAAAATAGGAAGAAGAATCTCAGGTCAGTTGTCCAATTGTTCATAGTGTTGAGGCCACTGTGAGGAGGAGGCATCTGTCCAGATGTATAAACAGTATCCCTCACCCCACGCTGCACATCCTATCCAGTCAGAAATGCTAACAAACAGTATTTATTTTTGTTTTTATTAGGCTAAATACGAAAGCAAAACTAGTAGACTCTGTTCTGTATGTATCCTGACACATTAAGGGTTTCTTTTGTAACTTTGCTCTTGTCTTTTTCTTTTAGCTGTCAAATCATTAAAACAATATTTTACTCTTAAGTTAAATATTTAAATTCTTTAAATTCTACACAGATTTGCTGCATATCCTTTTAACTTTATCCAACAGGACACGTTTTGACTAAAGAAGCCACTATTAGACTGCTAGCTGTGGGTCTCAGAGTATTTCATTGTATAAACATCTCTGTCTAACGGTTTCCTGTGCCTGTGGAGAAATCCAGCAGACAACCGTGCAAAGACTAGGCTCAAGATTACAGCCCTGCAGCTCCCTGACCACATGGAAACCATGATTGTAGACCTGGGGAGTATATATAGCACCGGTCCACTCCTTAATGTTGTGTATTGTGGATGGATGTACGCCCTAGACCTGAAGTCTGCACCACTGAATATGGACAATCGCAGCCAAATTATACACTACACACATTTGGCGCTGATGTTGTCATGTGTCTGTCCGATTCGTCTCCAGCAAAAAGAAAAAGCTGAGACTGAGTTGGCTTCACTACACATAAAATACTTCCATATGATTTTTGTTTTCATCAATTTGTCATCAGCCATGTATGCAAGTTGCCCGTGGGTACGATGTGCCATTAAACTCACATTATGAATTCAGATAAACTACACCATATGGTCAAACAGATGAAAATGCTGCTAATATTAATTGACAGAATTATACAACACTATGCGAAAAAAAAAAACAGTTCAGTTATTGCTGAAGATGTTCTTACTGCACGTCATGCTAATGTGAAATGAACTCTCCACGTGTTCAAGATCTCATTCAGGCTTTGTCAGTGTTGATGAGCAAGAGAAAATCTCTTTGAGAAAGCAGGGAGGAAATCCTATCTCTCACTCCTAGTTTCTGCAGCAGCTTGTGAGGCTTTGTGCCGCAGCGATTATTGCTTCTACTAACGCCACAGTCTTGAAGCAAATTAAATTCCAGCGGGGTCACAACTGCCTAAACACAACCCAAACAAATCTGCTTCATCCTCTGTGTCAGTGCCCGCTGTCTGGAAGAGCAAATAGGATATATACCGTAGACCTCCAACACATCCCTAAGGAAAACATGTATGATTGTGAAAGATGTATGTGTATGACCAGCAGGATTCAGTATATTTAATGCCACGTGGGAAATCGAGACTTCGTGGGAGATGAAGCGGGAGAAACACTGTGTATGCGTTGGGCTTATTTCGTGTTCCTGTACCTCTGAGTTGAAGCGGATCTGGCAGACGTTACAGGAGATGATTGGCCGCTTGGTCTTCACCAGAGGAACTCCAAAGGTGTGGTTGATCACGGCCTTCTGCACCGGGTCCATCTGACAGAGCATCACAAAAGAGAGAGAGAGAGAGAGAGAGAGAGAGAGAGAGAGAGAGAGAGAGAGAGAGAGAGAGAAGAGAAGAGAAGAGAAAAGAAGAGAAGAGAAGAAATCTGTGAGCTATAATTCATATTCTACAACTCCCTACATCTGAAGTCCTGGTGCTAAAAGTCGACAGGCCAATCTATCATAATGATGGTGAGGGGTCACTGTGCTTCGCCCTCTACCTCTGATGCCAGAGAAGCCAGTGTGGAGTAGAAGGAGTCTACAGGTTTTCTGCCCAAAGGACCAAACCTGCAACATGACAACATGCAGGGGTGGAGAAAGTGCACAGACTTGAGTGTTTACATATCTTCCCAGTGTTTGCTCTTTGTCTGTGTTTATAGTCAGCAAACAGCAGTCAACAGTGTTGTCAGTGTGTTGCTACAACTGAAACACCTGTTGCATCCCAGACCAGGATGTAGCTTCATACTGTCCCTGTGCTAATTGTTTCAGCTAGGACGTCCATCATCTGTGTGGTGTTAAGCACCTTGTATAAATTTAACTGACTTGCTTTAGCATGTGTCGGTGGCTAAGCCTCCCACTTAAACTCTGTCCCAGACACAAAAGACCTTGCCTGCACTGATCTAAAAGGGCTTCATTCCAATTATTTATCTAGGTTTGAAGCTGAATTTATCCAGCGATCATTGTTAATTGACCTTAGCATTAGTCTGGAGTCAATGGCTGGTGTGGATTTCCACCACAGACAACTGTCTGGCACTATGTCTGCAGATAAAGTAAGCAACATTTAGAAGATGATGTGGTACTGTATGGGTATGCAAAAGGAATGAAGAGAAATAAAAAAATCCTGGCTTGAAGAACAATATGGATATGAATGTGAGTGTGTGTTTTGAATTCATAAGGCAGTGAGGGAATGTTCCAGAGAGTCCTCCAAGTCTGATGCAAGCCTGTTGGTTTGAAGAGGACGACAGACTTTAAATGACTCAATTTGGCTCATCAGTACGTTTAATTCCGGTAATCACCAAGATTTACCTGAAGCTATGCACCCAAAGCCACAGTCTCCTCTAAAATACAAATGGCTCCTCTGGCCTGAGGAGTGACAAAGAGTAAAAAGAGGCTGAAATGAATATTCTCATAACTCAACCTTAAACAATTAGAATTTCTGCACAGTGCTTGTTACTTAGCAACTCCAAAGAAACAGGGTAAACAGTGAAAGGGGAGGAGGCCAAAGACATTTAGCTGGGTGACAGGATGGGACAGAAACACACCATCTGGAGGAGCTAATGGGTGGGAGAGGAAGATGAATTTGGACACATAGAAAGACAGAGGGAGGGAGAAATCGTAAAGAGCCTAAGAGAGAGAGAGAGAGGGAGGGAGAGAGAGAGAGAGAGAGGCCCGGTCCGGACATCCTCACATCGTACATTCTTATCTCATTTGGCTCTCTTTACCCTACTCCTCATTCCATGACTCCCTCTATTCCTCTCCCCAGAAACAGCCTAAAGTCAGCTCCACTGCGGCTGTTGCTGTGAATTCTGATGGACTGGAGGTTGGGGGGAGGGTGGATGTTATTGAGCAATGACGATGGTGGATGATAACTGCCCAAACTAATGCAGAAATAGTTCAGCGGTGACTACGCATTAGCCAGCTGAAACCAACAAAATGACTACTTTAACACAAGGAGTCCAATAAAACAGCCATTTATATCAACAATCAACTCAGCATTTTGATCAAATCCCTCCAACTTCTGCCAAATGTCACCGCAGCTCCGACCCATCACTGTGACCCATCACCACCCCGCTGAGGAAAGTTTATCCAGAGGCTGAACAGACCTGGTGGAGTAACTGTACATGTGAATCATGGGCCTCTCCCCAGCCAGTCAGTCCAGTATGCTGGGTGTGGGTCAGTAATGATCCATCCAGTTGATTCAGCTGTTAAAAACACTGTCCGGCTGCCAACAAGCCTTTTTGGATGACTGTTCACATGGCCTCTTACCCGAATCCTCTCCAAAACATGTCCTCATGAAATAGGATCAGAGCACTATGATGCAACTGAAGTGGGATTTTCCAAACCTCACTCACTCGCTTTGGCCAATTTTGACAATATCAGCAATGGAATTTCATATTGGCTGTGTTTCCTGCATTAATAGTTTATAACTGAATCCATTCAATCTTGAAAATCTCATTAGTAAGCAATGTATATATTCACCTCAGCTGAGTGAGTTTTGGAAACTTGTCATGCCGGATGGAGCATGGAGCTGTTTGAATGTGGTGAGAGCTCTGGCAGAAGTAAGTAAACCACACAGATCACTGACTTTAGCGTCACTCAGCGGTCATGTCAACATCTCCACAGGGTCTTAAGACCCAAACACCCTAATCCCCCTTTGTTACCACAGAGCCTCTTCTGTGGAGAAACCAAGCATCTCCTGGCACTGCACAATAACGCGCACCTAAGCTCACCAGTATCCTCTATTGTGGTCTTTCCTATACTCTCTCTCTCTGCCCCCCCCACTTGTTGTTTTTCTTTCATCTTTTCTTTGTTTCTCTTCTTTTCCTCTGGCACGTTTGATCAATTCCCTGCAACAAAATATTTGGAAGGGTTGTATTCAAGCAACGAAGAACACACTGCTCAGTGACTCTCGCTGGGACCACTCTGGCAGTCACAGCGTAGTGTGCACTGTGCCAGATAAAAACAGCCTTTGAAGCACAAGTTCTGCAGCACTCTACTGAGTTGTGCCCAGATTAAGACACAGTTGGGTGAAAAACAAACAAAAAAGCTATGAAAAGCTCCAGACATTTAGGTACTCACCTTCTTCTCCTCTGTGTCTGTAGAAGCTTGGAGCTGCATTGGTCCTCCTGTGTGTGTGCTACTGGCCGAGGTGTGTGTGTGGGTCTCAGCATGTGTGAGAGTTAGAATGTGTGTTGCACTTTCCTCACTCATTTTGCTTTCTACTCAGTTGTCAGTGCAGAATACAAACTAACTCACTAAAAAAAAAAAAAAAATATACAGGACTTCTGCCTAGTGATGCATTGCCAGGATTTCTTTGTTTTTCCTTTTTTTGGCACACACTCTGCGTCTCTTTGAGATGCTACAAGAGAGTGTGTGCTGTAAGGATTTTCTCAAATCTCTCCCTTACCCTCTCTTTTTTCACTGAGACATTACCTAACAAGTGCCTGTCCCTTTTATTCAGCCTCCACCTCCTCTCCTCTCAGCTGCTTTCTCTCGCTCTGTCTCACGCTTTCCTGTAGTGCATTTCCCCCCTCACTCTGCTTTCCAGTTTTCTCCTCCCCTTCTCGCTCTCTCTCTCTCTCTCTCCCCCTTCTTCATGCATACTCAATCTGTCCAAATGCAGCCAGGACTGTGTGTCCCACTCTCCTCCTGCTCAACCCCCCCCCCCCCCCCAAGTTCACACCATCTATCAAATGTCATCATTAGCCAGTGGAAGCTTTTGCCCTGCCCACCAATCCCTCCTAACCACACATGAATACACACAGTGGTTTCTTGCTACAGTGGGTTTGAGATGGGATGCCTTTCAGCCAGACATCATTGCACATAAAGCCCCATGAGGAACTGGACAAAACATATTTTAAATGGTTGCTATTTTTGCAGCCTCAGTCTGAAACCTGTAGCGGCAACAGCTATGATAAAGCATCAGTCAGTCTGAGAAGAGTAGTACTGAAATGAAAGTGTTATGAAGGTTGGAGAGTGAGTTGTTGAGGAAGAGAGTAAAATAAAGATGAAAGGAGGACCGACAGCAGGTGAGATTCAACAAGTCCTCACAAGGCTTTGCATGATTAGACACCTTCATCGGAAATTCCTGACTTTGCAGTCCACATCGGGGGAGCTGGCTCGGCCTAGAGGTGTGCGAACGTGCGTCTGTATCACGACCAGCTGCTGCAGATAAATAATTCAGCCTCGTCACTGTCTAGAAGCACATTGGCCGAGACAAGCAGGTAGAGAACAAATCAGATTAGAAAACCATTAAAGCTGTATATTGCTTTAGGAGAGGCCATTCCTCTGCTGTGGGGCTAATAACCCTCCACGTAAAGTAGAGTCTCATTAAGACTGTACAAACTCAGCACAGATCACTTATTAAGAGAGAATGGTAGAATAACTAGCTGCCAGCTCAGTGCAGGGACATTTCTCAGTGTTATTGCTGCCATTATGCTGTGTCTTCATTGAAATATTGTGCATATCCATATTTATTACAGTGCGTTGGTGCAGGCAGACACCAGGAGGCATCAAAGACCCTCGAAATGGCATATTTAATGTGAAATAATCTTGCAGTTCATCCTCCATTCACATGGTTATGTGAAAGAGATGAGATCCAAGCAGAATGCCATTCACTGATTGTTTAAACATTCTTCAGCCTAAAAGCCCAACAAGCCATAAAATACAGTCGGTGATGTAAACAGAGCTGCAAACACTTACTCTCTTACTCTAGGTCTTCCTGTATAAATGTACTCAGCTACACAACACTAAGTTAAACATAACAACATCTCTGAGGGAGCTGAGGGCCACACCATCCTCTGTATGAAAACATCAAGACAGAGCCTTCGTTAGCAGCAACCAATGTGGTGTCTTTTATTTTTGCATTTTCACGGCTCCAAAATACAAGCCGGAGATAGAAACAGCTGACTCTGCACTTTACTTCAGGCACCGCCAAGTCAAATACGGACTGAAATATCAGACTAAATGTGTCAGTCACTTCTCCACTGTTTTCAATGCAATGCAGTAAAAGAGCCGAAGTCCTGTCCATGTATACGTGCCAGTATGCAGTGGAGCTATAAGGTCATAATGTCCTCCAAGCCTCTCCTATGGCCCCATCTCCTGGCCACAGGGCTGTAAAACACCACTCACTGAGGGCTGGCTCGCAGTCATCAGCAGCAACAGTTATTAACATTCACTGCGTCCCTGTAGACCTTCAGGCGTAGTTAATGTTCTGAGAAGGAAAATGGGGAGCAGAGGGACATTATAGAACGAAAGAGAGAGAGAGATTCAGAGGGAGCGCTGCGGCAGCGAGACAAAATGAAGAAAGAGCAAGCAAGAATGATTTCAGGGCTGTGCTAACAGATGCAATAGTAGAAAGTGAGTGCCTGCATAATTTCAGTATCTCTATTAATCCATGTCTGCTGGGTGAACTGCAGTTTTAACATCAGTGAGACTGCTTCCACTTATGTCATGGCCCATGGAGGGCTATTAAAATGACTGTATCGTTAAAATGTGTTTAACAGTGTCTGGACTCCTGTTCTTATCCCTGTAGCACCATACGTGGTCAATGCACCTGCCAGATATTTCCAATTAGTGACAGGAGATTGCTATGTCACACCTTTGCAAACTGTAGCCAAATATACCAGGCTGACACATGCAGAGAATAACGCTGGTGCACACATGGTCCAGGAATAGCATTGCCCAACTACAGTACATACAAAGTTCACTGATTTTACATATTGCTGACAAAAAATGTGTTGACATTCCCTAATGGAGTCTGGAGGAGCAGGCGGCACATTATGCTGAGTTGGTGAAATGCCAAATGTCTCTACAGTCTAATCTAAATTGTAAGATGTTAGTCAGGGCCCGGGGAAACGGGAAGATCCCTCTCCGTTAAAATAAATACCACATCAAACAAAACTGTGGTGTTTGAAGTGCACAGCTATGAGGATGGCCTTAGCACTTCTCTTTAATTCTTAGGTCTTTGATTTAAGGAATAGGAGAGAGTAAGTGCAAATGAAATAATACAACCTCTGGAATGCCCTGCTTCCCTTATAGAAATACATCATTTAAGTGGGTATAGTAGGAATTTAACAACTTCAATACATATACTATAAACCTACATAAACATTAAAATGAATATGTTACACATGGATCATGACAGTATCATGAAGGTAAATACACAGACACTACTATGACAACCTTAATATCCTGCATGTTGTACGAAGAATTTGTGGAGGAGCTTGGACCTTAAAAGACTGGAGTATGTGTGTGTGTTTGTGTCAAGATGCAACCTCTGGGGCTGAAAAAAATGCAGCCAACACCAAAGTGCCAATAACTGCAGTTCCTTGAAATGCCACTTGAGGCTGGCTCCATAAGCAAGTCACTCCTCATACAATCCCATGTTAAAAGGCCTAGGCCCAAATTTACAGCAAAACACGGTTCTGGTCTCCATAGCTAATATCCCCCTTCATGACAACTGTACTGTGAACTCACCTCAGATTTCAAAGGCTTAAAGTTATGCATCATCGAGAGCGTGGCTGCTTTGAGTGACAGGTGGGTGCCACCGCAGTTGGCTAGCTACTCGGTGTCACCTGAACCTGACCTCTTGGCCATGTTTGTTGTTGTGGTTTTCATGCAAATATCAGAAAAATAATATGTTCTTTTGTGTAGTTAATTGACTTACAGAAAATGAGGATGTCTGCTCCTTTGGTATTATTTTATTTATATGTTAGCACTAATTAGCAGTATCGGTATGGCTCACCATACCTAGCTTGTTAACTAGCTAACTAGCAAGCAAATTAATTAGCTTTGGGTTAACCTTCTAGCAAGATGCCCAGACATCCAGCTGTGGTGCCGGAGTTATTAAACCGGCAAGCACAAAAGTCTCCACGCACGCCCCACCTCTTTACCCATTTTTGGATTAGCCGGGAGTGAGGCAAAGCCAGGCACCTCCAAAATGGCGACAAAACAACTGTCACTGAGCTTCAAAATAGCTCTTTGGAAAACTGTAGGTGACCTATGGTTTTTATTTTATTTTTTTGTGATGTGTCGGCATCAACTCTCACCGTGTTGAAGTTGTGGAAGAGGCTCATGCTGTGTGGAGGAGGTGCGGTCTCCATGGGGAATTGCAGGAAGGGCTTCATGTCCAGGTGGGGCTGGATCACCGTTGGGGTCCGCAGGAACGTCGGCACCGCCGCCCCTGCCCGGTTTATGCCTCCTACACACACAAAAACACAGATATATAAATATACTAGCCATTTTTTTATTGCTCACATTTATAAAACAAATTAATTAGATATTTTCCATGTTTGTTTGGGCAATGTAAGATAATTGTACTAGTAATAAATGTCTTAGGTAATATACTTATAAATAAGGCAAAAAAAAATACAGGCAAACAGGCAAGAAAAAAATGTGTGGCTCATTACAAATTGTTTGCTGTTGTTTCCTGGAATGTGCTACTGAATCCAAAAAGCATAAAGAGCCATAATTGCATTGCAAAAACAATTATCTCTCTGCAGAGAGAGCAAAGCCCCCCCCCCCCCTCTCCCAGTGGGACACACAATCTCTAAACTGTGAGAAAAAGCAGCATTATGGGCCGTTAAGGACGCTCCAGCAACTGCTGTGGACAGACACCAGTTTTCCTGACAAGGTGACAAGAGTGAAGCGCCAAAGTGCAGTGGCAAATGCTGTGATACTGATGGTTTTGTGGGCTTTGTAGAATTTACATCACTGAAGCATTTCATTATACTAAAACATTCACATCAAATGAAGCAGGAATGCCAACAGAGGAGAAAAGAATGTCACAGAGGCAGCGGGGATTCCTCCACCTGCCTGCCAGTCTCCTCTCCTCTCCTCTCTTCTCTTCTCCTCTCCTCTCCTGGGAGACATCTGCAGCTTGATGATAATGAGTTTCATTTCAGCAAGTGTTGCTTTATGTCATCCTCGCTCATGCACCAGAGTTGGATTACTTGGTTGTGTCTAATTATAGAATGAATGAATCCTAGACTCTGATTCCTCTACTCACGTCTGACACATGCTCCCTGGCTTTGCCTGTATCCAGCATGCTGTTTGACTGGATAGAAAAACACAGTCACTTATGAACAGCAGTACAAAAGGACTCTAAATACACACACACAAACACACACCTGTGCATTATGTCAATGTTTAATTC